AGCTACAATGATAACAGATTAAATTACAGTAAAAGAGAATTTGTCTGAAGGTAATTGCATTTGATGGAAGAGATGACTGACATAGACTTATAAATGTCATTTCTTATGAAAATGAATGTATGTATATATATGTATGGCTGGGACATTGTGCTGTGCACTAGAAATTGATACATTGTAACTGACTGTCCTTCAATTAAAAAAAAAAAGAAATGCAAAATGTTATATCCCTTAGTGATACATAGTATTATTACATTTTGACAAAACAAGAAAAAAAATGTCATTTCTTTCTCTGATAACATTCTATGATGTCATATCACAACTGGGAAGTATCTCTTGTTATCACTTGTAACTTTGGATTGTATTATTTTATTTCACAGAAAATTGGTTTGTATAACTATGGTATTTCCATCAGTTACAAGTTTAAAGGTATTTGTAATGGGTTAGGGTTGGTGATGGGCAGGTGTGAGGAAAAAGGATAGAAGTGAGATAACAAAAAAAAATGTTTAATTGCTTTTCAAGCTTCTTTGACTAACAATTCCACATTCTTCATTGAGTTAAGTACTCCATGAGGCTCTCATCTCCTTCATTTCTCAGAGGGGCTTATTATTTCAGATAGGAAATTCTTGAGAGCATTAAATTCTCTAGGTATTGCTGCCTAGCTTCCATGAAAAAATATTAGGTTGATATGGTAATATAGGCTAATAACTTAACGTAAGTATAAGAAGCAACTCTCAAGGGAATGGCTCATCCACTGTGCCAAGAAGTTTGCTGCAATAAAGAATTAATACTGATTATTTCTGATTGCTCATCTATGTATTTCAATATTTGTTGACAGACAAAAGTCATTGTATGCCATTTTTTTATAAATTAATGGAAATAATATTATCATTGTTTATAGCTAGTATATTCCATCTCTACTAATATAATTAGTATATTAAGATTATATTATATGACATGAATAATTTTTACATTTAAAGCATAGTATTTGACATGATAATGACCAGATACGTTCTGTTTTTACTTGACAGAAGTATACAGAAATGGTAACTGAAGTTCATTGGCCATGGGATACTAATAATAATGGTTATTAAAATCTAAAAATATTTAAATGTACAAAGCACATTTAAATGTACAAAGCACATACTACAAGTACCTCATGTATAGCAATTAAAATCTCTAGTTGTAGAGGTGAAATGTGAGATTTATCTCCCATAGAAGCTTTTGACAGCTAAATATAGAAAACATGCTTTTGAGATGTAGTTGTTTCTGTATTGTTCACCTTACGATTGTAAGAGACAGTCATCTGAAATACCACATATATACTATTATTTTTTCTTTTTTTAACTAAAATATGCTCATTTATTTCTAATTATTCAGCTGAAGTCATTTGTCAGTAATATAGATAGTAACTTTCTTGAGATAGTTTTAATAATTTTACACCAAACCAAGCAAATTGAAATGAAATTATTTTAATTTTTTGGCCTTTTTTTGTTTTTGTTTTTGTATTAATTTTAAATGTCAAAATTAATCTCTCTTTTTTCAAGTTAATCTTTATTATTTTGGACCCTAAAGTTGCATGGAAAATTAGCCTTAAATAAACAAACAGTAAAGGAATATGAATACTAGTACTTCTCTGCACAGTATGCCCTAAACAAGTGGTAGATCCTTGCACATGTTTTCATTGATTCTAGGTTCTATTCTGAATTGAGTATGAGGTGGCAAACATTCCATGCCTTAATGCTTATCACCAACTAGTGGTCTTGATGAGACCCAGTGAGGAAGATTTGGTGCTCTCTCTGAGTCTCTCTCTTGGATGAATCTGTAATGTGTGTGTGTGTGTGTGTGTGTGTGTGTGTGAGAGAGAGAGAGAGAGAGAAATAGTTTGTGTATGTGTGTGTCTGTGTGTTGGTAAGAGTGATACTTCCTCTGAGAATATCATATGCTTTCCCAACCCCTGTTAGAGATAATCAGTTCAGGGAATTTTTGAAAAAGTTTTACTCCGTAGGGGGAGGCAGGGAAGGAAATATTTAATCCCATATCAGCTCTAAAACTCATATAAAGTTCTTCTTTTTCACACGTGAATCCTTTGGTCTTTAAGTGTTCCCTGTGCTGAATGTGCACCAGAGATACCCCCAGCTTCCTTCAGCGTGCTCCTTATCTGTCTCTGTATCTAGGGTGGAAGAGGGTATGTGGATATTTGGGGTCCTCACGTGGTTTAACTATTGTGTGCTCATCAACATTCTCTCTTCATTCAGATTCATCTCTGCTGGGAACTGTTGCCTCTTTATCTTCTTCCCTTCTCATAGATTTCCTACATGTCATCCTTCTCTTCTACTTGTTTTCACTCTAGTCATCTCACTTGGACTTCCAAGTGAAGGCCTAAGAAGGAGAAGGAACTGTGGACATGGCATTACTGAGGTTGCAGTCAAATCTGGTAAGTTATTTAGTTCTTTAAAGTTCAGAAAGGCAAGAATGTAGCCCTCACAAAAGGAAGGCTTGGTAAACAAGAGCAGTGATTAAATATTGATGCGATAATATGAGGAGAAAGGCAGACAATGGATGGATGGTTTAACCACCAGAAAAACTTTGTATCAGAATGAAAAATTCATTAGAATAATTTTAGTTGAATACTCTCTTCCTTTGTGGGACATTTGGTTGATTTGAGAAACAAGAAAAATAAAATAATTTGGGTTTGTACTCTATAGTTGAAAAACTTTCACATACACACATACAAACAAATACTTACACAGACAGAGGGAAAATTCAGAGTATGTTAACTGTGGAATGAGACAGTCACTGTCCATCACAGTCACCCTACATTCCCTTCCAGTAGGGCCAGATGACTCCAGGCTGAGGCTCACTCTGTTTCTGTGCCCAATGTATACAGAATTAACACATCCTGGCAGGCAAATCTTAACTGTATTTCTCATTTTCTGAATAAAAATATGACTTGTTTATCTTTGCTTATACTACCATGAAAGCTACCTGCCTTACTCAATTTATAAGTAATAAAATATATTAAAGTTTGTGCAACAAATCAGAATAAATAGTTACAATCTCAGTTTTACAACTTATTTATTTTCTTCATATACAGATTTGTATAATTGTTGTTTTTCTTAACTCTACAGTTAGATTCAAGATTAGTGGAGTCATATCTGGAGTAAAATTGCCAGAGTCTCAGTCAGTTCCATGTACCAGCTTTGTGATCTGGGGAAGTTTGTTTCATTATTCCCTTGGCCTCAGTGGCTTAATTTGTATGTTGAATAATTAAACTGCTGACCTCCTGGGGCTACGTTGAGAATAAAATGAGGTAAACTATGTCAAACGGTCGACATTAGTGCCTAGCTCATGAGATCCATAAATATTAGTTACATTAATATTTAAATGGTTTGTATTCATATTATTATTTTATTTTTTCTTTTGTATTTTGAGATATTTTAATATATTTTAAGCATATAGAAACTTATAAAGACTAGCAGAAAAAATACACATACTTCACCATTCAGAATTAATAGCTATTCCTTATGGTCATACTTCCTTCTAGCTATTTGTAAAGAAATAAGCCATTATAAACATAGAGAAAGTCACAGGTTTTGATCTAGTTTCTTCTCCAGAGACATCCACTATCATCAGTACCTTCTAAGTTCGTTTGTATATATATGTTTTTTCTTAACTATTGTATAATATGTATATATACTTTAAATTTCCATTTTACAAGAGGTGGAGGAAAGCCCTTAATGCTGTCTTGATTATAAGTGTTGGTTCTCAGTTATCCAATCAGTGGATTCTCTATACACCTAGATATTATCACATCCATTCGTCACCACCATAGAAGCTTGTTGCAGCCTCTAGAGTGATGGCTTTGACAATCTTAGAATTTCCAATAAGTGTCAGAGTTTTAATGTACAAAATTTTAAAGCTGTTGTTGGGAACACATGCCACAACATGGTTTAGTTATGGCAAAGTATTCTCAGAGCAGTAGATTTGAACTTTATTTTGTGCCCCAATGTACCTGAGAGATATAATGCATTCCCTTTTAATAAGAGTCATAATTCTATTAATTCTTACTAACTGCTCAGGAAAACATGCAGAAGTATTAGAATGAAACTTGCCCTTAGTTAGCTTTACATTAGGCAATACACTCACCCTAAGACATAAAACCACTGCCAGATAATTGAGAGTACAAAGTATCACAGAAGGTATAAAATCATTTAGTTCTATGGGACAATAAGATGCAGATAAATAAAATAATCAATGTAGGATTCCTGGAAGTGGAGTTCTTTTTGAAAATAAAATGTGAATAAGAGGCAAAGCAAAGGTATTGAAAGAACTTTGAATATTAGTCCCATTTGGATTGAGTTCTAATAGTTGCTTTTTTCTATCTTTTTCATCTTTACAGGAAAGTATTCCCAACTTCAGAAAAGCCACCCAGGAGTATATTACACCTAGGTGATGTGAAACATAATTTTATCATAGAGGTTTAGGATAGGGCTGGGTAGAGAGGGAGGGGATATATTAGGATCCTGCTCCAGTAAATAGAACAAATGGAATCAACAGTGTAACTATAAACAATAATGAGATCATCTTCTCCCTAAGATTTTGCTTGATCACTTGAACTCCCTTGAGTCTGGATATGACTCTAGGATTACCAATATTAATGAGAACATATTTAGAATGAGATTTCACCTAACAGCAAGCCAGGTTCTCTGATCCAGAGACATAAGTCACTATTCCTATCCACTGTTTACATATGATTAGAAGAATTCAGTGCTTCCCTATTTAAAAAAAAAAAAAAGGAAATGACTTTGAGTGTTCATTTCCTTGTAAAATATAATCAGCTTTGAAAGTAATATTTTACCTCCTGTGAAACTGAAAACAACGATGCAAAATATTGGGGGGGAAAATCACAGATTCTCAAATACTCTGCTCTTCAGACCTAATAATGACTAACACCTATTGAAATTCTGGGTCAAGCATCCAGCATTTCCAAAGAAGTTCCCCTTCTACCATTTTACTAGTCGTTCTATTTTGAGGGAATATATCTACACTCTTCACAGATACTCACCTCTCTCCTAACAGGTAATATATGGTCACAGGTGATGGAAAAGGACAACACAAGTTCTTTTGAAAGATTCATCCTCGTGGGCTTCTCTGATCGTCCCCACCTAGAGCTGATCCTCTTTGTGGTTGTCCTCACTTTTTATCTGCTGACTCTTCTTGGCAACATGACCATCATCTTGCTTTCAGTTCTCGATTCCCAGCTACACACACCAATGTATTTCTTTTTGGCAAACCTCTCATTCCTAGACATGTGTTTCACCACAGGTTCCATCCCTCAGATGCTCTACAACCTTGGCGGTCCAGATAAGACCATCAGCTATCTCGGTTGTGCCATTCAGCTCTACTTCGTCCTGGCTCTGGGAGGAGTGGAGTGTGTCCTCCTGGCTGTCATGGCATATGACCGCTATGCTGCAGTCTGCAAACCTCTGCACTACACTGTCATCATGCACCCACGTCTCTGTGGGCAGCTGGCTTCAGTGGCATGGTTGAGTGGCTTTGGCAATTCTCTCATAATGGCACCCCAGACGTTGATGCTACCTCGCTGTGGGCACAGGCGGGTAGACCACTTTCTCTGTGAGATGCCAGCACTAATTGGCATGGCCTGTGTAGATACCATGACCCTTGAGGCATTAGCATTTGCCTTGGCAATCTTTATCATCTTGGCACCACTCATCCTCATCCTCATCTCTTATGGTTACATTGTACAAGCTGTACTTAGGATCAAGTCAGCTGCTGGACGAAAGAAAGCCTTCAACACCTGTAGTTCCCACCTCATTGTTGTCTCTCTCTTCTATGGTACGATCATATACATGTACCTCCAGCCAGCAAACACTAATTCTCAGGACCAGGGCAAGTTCCTTACTCTTTTCTATACAATTGTCACTCCCAGTGTTAACCCCCTGATTTATACACTGAGAAACAAAGATGTTAAAGAGGCCATGAAGAAGGTACTAGGGAAAGAGGGTGCAGAAGTACAGTAAAAAGTCATCAGATTTGGGGATTGTCTTTTGACCCAACTTCTATACACGTTGTTAGAACTAGCAAATAAAGGAATATTCTGACATTACAGACTAAAGAGGCACTTACTGAGATGGGGAATTCAATGGTTTAGCTAAGTTGAGAAAACACAATATTCCTGAGTTGACAGTCACTTGTACTCCTCTCAAGTCCGTGTAAGTCAAGTATTCATCACTAGGAGGGCTCCAATCTAGGATCAAACAGTGACCTATGCTTGCAAAATACTAGCCATGAATGTAGACACGAGGCATTTTGTACCTATTCTAGCTTCCATCACAATGATTTGTACTTAATAGCTCCTCAACATATATGAAAAGAATGAACTTAACAAGTGGTGAAGAAAAATACTTATTTTATCTAGGAAGTTCAAATGAGCTTTTATAGTGCCAAATGGCTGAATGAGAGGCAGTATAAATTATTCAGTTTTCTAGCACTTTAGTATCTTCAATAGTATAACTTACATGTGGCTCCTGCATATTTTGAATTATTTATATAATTCAGTTTAATGGTATTTATGTTTGACTTTCTGAGGCAACAGAGAATAAAGAAAAAAAAATACAAAGCAAGACCACGATGCATTTGCTTTATAGAGAAGGAAGAATTTATTGTTCATATTCAATATTTGTTCATGCTTTATTAATGACCAAAGAAGACTAAGGGTCTTCTTGCTTAAAACATTTGAAGATTATTAATCTCTATTTTTTCCACATGTTATCAGGATAAACTTGGATAGAGGTAGAGAAGAATGAGATGAACTCTGGGGAACTGTTGGAATATTTATGATTGATTATTCTCTGGATGTTGAATTTTTCATATTTACACTAATGACTACAGTACCTCACTAGTTACAACAATTAAATGATGTGCATTAAATGAATGAATCTTAAAGGCAGACATGTTTCTTCAGACCTGAAATATTATAAATTGGATGAATCCCATCTCATCACCTAGGAAAACATATATTATGTTGGAATTTCTGCAAGTGAATAAGTATTCCAAATTTTGGGAGTATTGACTGTGTTATCATTAGGAACTGGAGTTAACAATTTCTCATTTAAGCCCTTTCATAATATTTAAGAAAGTTTAGGTTAATCTAGAGGCCCCAAAAGAAATACCAAATATCTAATAAATTTTTCTCAAAACTTATCATTTTCAGACATAATGTGTATATTTTCCTATTTTTGAGCACTAACTTTTGAGCTTTGTCCAGATAGATTAGATTTGCATTTTAGATTAGTTAGGGCTTGTAAGAATGGGTTTGGGGTTTAGTTTTGATTATTCACATAAGAAGGTAGAAAAATTAGAATATATTGATTCTTCTTAATTTATAAACTAAGTAAAAGGTGATGCTGAGCTCTGATTATGTTTACTGCAGCCCATGTACAGAATATGGAGACTTGCAGCTTAGCATTTCTCATCTCTCCCACTAAAAAATGACTTATAGTATGTGTCCTACTGGCATAAAAATATACTATACATTTCTACATAAATGAAAAGTCCTTTTCAAATCAGTCCCTATTGAATAATGATTACAATATTTTTTAATCTTATCTCTATGCTATTTAGATACATATTACATTAGAATCAATAATACCTTGGAGTAGGGGCAAGAGATTGAGACAGAGTATAAATCTCTGTGGACATACTGATTTTGGAAGCTCCCTATGGGATTCCCAACAAGTTCCTTTCAAAACTTCCCTTTTCCCCCCACAAGGGGTAATTTTCATAGCACTCTTCTCTAAAAACTTTAGAACCACGAATTAGAGGTTATAAGGCATAATATGTATCGGATCTCGAGGGGAAAAAAGGTCACTTAGTCCTTAATAACATTATGATGGCTCAGCATCACCATTTACTTAATTTATAGTGTAGTCTGAAAAGTTTACCTAGTTTACTTACTTATGGTTAGAATAATCAAATATATTCTAACTGTTCTGCCATTTCCTGGGAATAATAGGATATTCTCCATAATGAAAATAGCAGAAACATTTCATTTTCATCCTCTGTAGATTCTTCCCTTCACTAATCTGTGCTTCTTCCTTATGGACTGACCTTTTACATAGAGCAGATGGAGGTTTGGGTAGAAATGAGCATCAGGATGCAATCCACTGTTCACAATTCTATTTCTCTTAGCTAAAGTGCTTAAATTTCTTCTAAGAGAAATAAATATTACATACATGCTTGTATATGTGTGTGTGTTTATACTCACTGTGACTTTAAATTAAAAGCCATAAGAAGATAGCTCAATAAATGCTTACTAATCAGATTATCAGATCATCTTCCATCTTGTTGTCTTGATAGGCAGTACAAAGATCCTGAAGATAAATTAACCTATTTTATATTTTGTCTATATTCACATTTTGCTCTCCGCATTCACTCATTCAGCAGATATATATTGTGTCAGGCATTGTTCTGGGAGTACTAGAATAAAACACACAAGAAAATGGCCATTGCATTGTGCCTACATTCCAGTGGATAAAAGAGAAAACAGACAAATTTTAAAAAGAAAACTTATGATAGTAACATTTATAAGAGTTGTGAAGATAAGTATAACAGGGACACGTTCTAGGAAATATGGGAGGGCTCCAGTTTTAAATGGAGAGATTCGAGGAAGAGCTTGGAAAATGTATTTGAGCAAAGACTTGATGGAGATAAGCAAGCAAGGTAGAAATCTGGGGAAGAGGGCTCCCAGCAGAGGGAGTAGCAAGCACAATATTTAGGTCAGAAAGATGCAAAGGAACTGGAGAAGAGGATTAAGAAGAGCTCGGTGAGTAGGAGGAAGATCAAAAGCTTCAGTTTTCTTGGAAGAAAAGAGCAAAAAGTGTTTTCAGAAGGAATGAGTGATCAACTTTAAAATGCTGCTAATAGGTCAGCTGAAGTCTATTTCCTGACCTCTTTGAATCTGGTTAGTCTCCTGATTTGCTTTGGCCAATAAAAAGTCCAGAGGCTTTGCAAGCATCCAACACTTTTTCATGAACCTCCAACTTAATTTTGAGAACATGCTCAGGATACAAAGCCAGTGAATGAGACCTATGGAATAGAGCCGGGTTGGACCAGTTTTCTCAGCTGAGGCTCCAGCCAGCATCAGCAAAATTATCATATCAAATTGCACTATCCATAGACATGTGAATGAGATTTGAGATCCAGCTGACCCAGGAACTTAAAAGAAAAGAACAGTTTTCTTTTTGTATGTATCAGGGATATTGTGATTATTTCTTACATAGTTACTCTCAAAATAGATAACTGATACAATTTTATAATTCATGAAAATACATATAAAAATTCTAAATAGTCATTAGCAAGTTTAATATAGTGCTGCACAGAAAGCATGACATATTAAAACCATGTGGAGTTTATCACAGGAATAGAGTGGTGTAATATTTGAAAATCAGTGCTATTTATCACTTTTTTTTAATTGAAAGGAAAACCTATAGATTCAGTCAAAGCATATGACAAACTTCAATCCCCATTCATTGTTTCAAAATCTTAGCAAACTAAGAATAAAATGGAATTTCCTTAAGCTGATAAAGTATACCTACAGGAAACCTCCAGCAAGCGTTAAACACAATGGTGAAATACTGATTGAAACAAGGATGCTCATTATCACCACTTTTCAGCATTGTACTGATGACCTTAGCTAGTGTAATAAACAAGAAAAAGAAACAAAATGCATACGGAATGGAAAGAAAGAAGTATATTTGTCATTTTTTTGGAATAACATAATTGTGTATATTGAAAATGTCTATGTAGAAACTATGAAAATAGTTAAGTGAGTTTATCAAGGTCACTGGAAAAATAATCAGTAAACAAAAATCAATCATATTTACACCAGCAACAAACAAATAGAAAATGAAATGTGAAGATCTGTATGAGTCATAATAGTTCACAGGAACCCATCTAATCCAAGGATGCTCCAAATTTAATATAAGGCTTTATATGCTGAACCTAATGATATCCCATGCCTGTCCATCTTACAAAAGGGAAATATAAACTAAGAAAGAGCTTTGGATATCCTGCTTTCATTTACACGTTAAACTGGTTTTTGCCATCTAGACATCATGTTCTCAGCCACCATTAATTTAAACACAAATATCCACACACATTTGTGGCAGTAGCCCAAGGTCTTCCATTGTTTTCTCTAATATGCTGTTCTTCAGATCCTATATCCCCTGGGCAAGGAGTTTTGAATTTATTATCTCCAAGTTTAAAATTGCCTCTGACCCCTAGGCCTTCAGATTTTCACTTAGTCTCTCCAGTATTTAATACTTGGTGCTCCCTAATGTCCTATTATAGGTCTGTCCCTCTCAGTGCTTCGTTCCTCCTTATATAGGAAGTTCTTCCTGAGATCTAGCCCTGAGAAATTCAATCCGCAAGGCTTGTCACTAAAAGAACTCTGTGGCCATGCCTGTTTCGTTCTCTCAGAGAGTAATTGTTAGATGGTCATAAAATAATCCTGTAAATTAACATTCTGGGAGACCTTTCCTTACAAAGCAAGACAGAGATATGCCAATAAGCAGCCTTCTGGGAAATGAGGGTAAGAAGGGGAGGGTGGGAAAGTTGGCACCAGCCAAGGAGGAGAAATTAAATTTAAATGAACCAAAGTGTGTATTTCATACTGTATCTCTGATTTCCTAAAATATTCTGTGAATTTAGGAAAGTTTAACTTCTCTATGTCTCAGCTTCCACATCAACAAAATTAAGATAAAATGTAGCTATTTTATAGGGCATTGGTGAGGACAGTGAGTACCAATGAGATATTATTACTATTATTATTAAACTCTGCAAATTCTTTCCTATTTCCAGGCCTTTGTTAACTGGGCATTATTTCTTAATTTTTCACTTTAAGGACTACTGAAAATTTTGAGTTTACTTATCCTGGTCTATTCACCAAACTAAAGACTTTATTCATATTTTCTTATTTGTTTGGTCCTCTATTTTACTTTTAAACTACTGTTTTCTTTATTTAAATAACCTATTATAAGAACTTGTGGAAAAAAAAAAAAGAAAACCTACATTACAAACATCATTTATCCCCTGACTAATCCCATCCTCATGCCCACTCAGAGGTAAGCACTGCTATTAGTTTGAGAAGTTTTTAAATAGTATATGTTATTTTTGGTGGATTAAGTCTTAATTTTTTGTTTTCTTGTTTTACTTGATGCCTTTTCCTTCTTTCACAAATGCCTCTGTTCTCTTCGGATTGTCCATGTTAAGCATTTAATAAATATCCTTCCTTCTTTTTCTTCATTTTCATAAAATCCTATATAGGCATACAATACATAAAATTATATTTAGAGCACTTTAGTCATTATTTTATATAGTTAAGGTCGTGCTATTTAATCTCTCTTGCATCTTCATTTCCTTACTCAGCAATATCACAGGAAAATCACTAGAGTAGATTATTATTCAGGCAATTCCCCATTGAGGGAGTAAATTTTTTCTCCAACTTTCACAACTATAAACATTGCTACAATAAAAATTCTTGCCTTATGTCT